GCTGAGGCAGGAGAATTGCTTGAACCCCGGAGGCAGAGGTTGCAGTGAGCCGAGATCGCACCACTGCACTCTAGCCTGGGCGACAAAGCAAGATTCCATCTCAAAAATAAAAATAAAAAAATAAAAGAGAGACCTGACCTGAGGGAGAAGAGATGTTAAGGAAGACCTGAGTTTTTGACTGTGGAAATTAACTAGGCAGGGCCAGGCACAGTGGCTCCCTCCTGTAATCCCAGCACTTTGGGAAGCCAAGGCAGGTGGATCATGAGGTCAGGAGATCGAGACTTAATCCTGGCTAACGCGGTGAAGCCCCGTCTGTACTACTAAAAAAAAAAAAAAAAAAAAAAAAAAAAGCTGGGTGTAGTGGTGCATACCTGTAATCCCAGCTACTCAGAAGGCTGAGACAGGAGGATCGCTTTAACCCAGGAGGTAGATGTTGCAGTAAGCTGAGATCATGCCACTGCACTCCAGCCTGGGTGACAAAGCGAGACTCCATCTAGGAAAAAAGAAAAGAAAAGAAAAGAAATTAACTAGGCAGGCCAGGTGAGGTGGCTCACAGCTGTAATCCCAGCACTTTGGGAGATCGAGGCGGGCAGATCACCAGGCCAAGAGTTGGAGACCAGCCTGGCCAACATGGTGAAACACCCTCTCTACTAAAAATACAAAAATTTAACCAGGAGTGGTGGTGCGCATGTAATCCCAGCTACTAGGGAGGCTGAGGCAGGAAAATCGCTTGAACACAGGAAGCAGAGGTTGCTGTGAGCCAAGATTGAGCCACTGCACTCCAGCCTGGGCAACAGAGCAAGACTCTGTCTTGGTGGGGAGTGGGGAAGAAATTAACTAGACAGTCTGAACTTTTAAGTTCCAAAAGGACAAACAACAATCATGACTATGTCTGTGTCCACCGTTGTATTCCTCTGTGGGGCAGGGCAGCAAAAGCCAAAAGCTAGGAAAGGGAGGGGAGCTCCCTACAAGCACCCAATTACAGTATGGCCTGGGAGCATTCCTGGGGCTTCTGCTCTGTCAGTTTCTTTGTCACCATTCCTCTAGTCTCTCAATAGAATATTACTCTCCTCAGAGACCTGATTGCTTTGCCTATAGTATCCACTCTCCCAGTTACTGTAATAGCTTTAATGATCTAGTGCATTTGCTTGTCGTTGGCCATCTCCTCCCACTAGGCTGTAAGCTCCATGAGGGCAGAAACCTTGTCTGTCTTGCTTTCTTTGTATCCCCAATGCCTATATCTGTGTCTGGCAAATAGGAAGCACTCCACAAATATTTGCTAAAGGAATGAATGAACCCTGAGGGAGCTGAAGCCCCAGGTGTGAGGACGTAGGGGGACAGTGGCTGGTCCAAGGCCACTCTGGGGCCGAACTTCGATCCCGGGGTTCCTGACCCTGGCGGCCTAGCCTCAGGGGGTGGCTCAGAACTCCTCCAGTACCATAAGTGTTGGCCCCGCAATGGAGGCCAGAGGGTGAGAGAGCCAAGGCTGCCCAAGGTACAGCCGCGGCTCCTCCGGGGCCCCGCGCTCCGCATCCAGCAGGGACCAGCCACTCACTCACCTCGGCGGTTCCACCACTGGCTCTCTGCCGCCGCCGCCGCCGCTGCCAACCACGGTGACAGCTCCCTGCGAGCCCGCACTTCCGGGGTCAAACGGCGATTCCGCGGGAGCAGACAGGAAGTCTCGGCCTAGCCCCCGCCCCCAGGGCGAACTACCGCCCGGAAGCTGGACCAGGTCCCCACCTCTATTCCTAAAACTCCGCCCCGCACTCGGCCGTTTGTAGCCACGCCGACATCCCCTGTTACCTCCTTTCCTGCTTAAGCAGAGGATAGGTCAGCTGAGGGCGGGTTATGTGATTACACCTCTTGGGAAATCCAAGTATGGCACCTGAGAAGGCGTCTCGGAATCCCAGGCTTCCACCTTCTGCTCGACCTCCTTAGTCATCGTTTTACATATTTAATCCAGAAGAGAAATTTTAACAAGTCAAAAAGCACGAACATAACGTTAAGCAGATGTGCAGGTACAGACTACGATTTCATTTACAGGAAATTCTAGAACAGACAGAACTCATGAGTGGCGATGGTGTTAAGATTGGTGGTTTCCTCTGGGGCTGTGGACTGGGAGGGGCCACAGTGAGGCTGGGGTCACCCACTGTCTTCATCTCGGTGATAGCCATGTAGATGCTTTGGAAAATTCATCACACTGTACACTTAAGATTGGTGCACTTTTCTGTATGTATGTAATACAGTTTTTTTGGGGGGGGAGGTACAAGTATAGCTATTGTAAGAAAAGGATGCAATTATTCTACAGAATGTCTCAGGTAATGTAGGTTTAGTGGTCCCTAAGCCTGCTATGGATGAGAATCCTCACAGAAAACTTGTTAAGAACACACATCTCTGGCTTCCTCTCAGTGCCTGGCACACAGTAAGAATTCAAAACCAACCACCATCATTATTGGGGTGTTATGGAAGCCCCTGAATGGGGAACACAACCCCGCCCTGGGATTGTGAAATATTTCCCAGGACCCTCCTGCCAATCCCTGCTGTCTGCACTGGGGCTACAAGGAATGCTTAGTTCATTCAGTGCCTGTCCTCAAGGAGCTTACGAGATAGGGAGTGCAAGAAAACCAATAGCAATGAGTCAATGTGATGAATGCAGGGTGCTAAGGAAATAGGAGACCTGGCTTGTAAACCAGAAATGAGATGAGAGAGGCTGGATATTATATTGGTTATGTATTGCTATGTAACATATCACTACAAACTTGTAACAACACAAGGCCGGGCGCGGTGGCTCAAGCCTGTAATCCCAGCACTGTGGGAGGCCGAGGCGGGTGGATCACGAGGTCAAGAGATCAAGACCATCCTGGTCAACATGGTGAAACC